TAAAAACCCATGAATGAATTTCTGAAAACATTTATTTTGACACCACAATTATGTATATTGGTCTCTAGAAGCAAGGTTATGACCATCGTATCACGAATACGGTTTTTAACATGAGAAAGTATGACGAATGGGGGTGTGGTGTGGAAACGAAAAGTTATGACAGAAATAGTATTCGGAATATCGAGGATGGTGGGTATTTTGAATATGGTCCATCAATATTCAGTGGACGACTTAAAAGTCGTTGGTAAAATAGACTGAGAGGATTGGTATTAGAAAGGTATTAGATTTAAAGAATAATAGCATTTGAACAATGTAGACTTCACATCGAGAGTGTGCACAATTTAGAGAATAACGAATGAACAATTATATTTGATGAATATTTAGATAGATTTGTGTGAATTTATCTTCAAAGCAAATAACCATCATCCAAATTCCGGCATATATCAGATGTTCTCGGAACGTAAAGATTTCACAAAAATGACCATCATCGAAATCTCGAAATCCAAAATGGCCACCATTACCATTACCATTACATAACCATTCCTCGACACATGAAAAAGGATAATATTCGAAAACCGGTTCGTGTCAATTGCGTAAGTTTTGTTTTACTTGTTATAATTTTTCACATTATTGTTAGCGTTATTTATCACCTAAATATATATTTTTGCATTTTTCATCATAACTTTCATCTTACTTTATATATCCCCAAACCCAGTTTGACTTATTTGCATAATTTGATCCCCACATTTTCACGCTAGCATATACAGTTTCCTCCTGTTACATCCGCTGTACATTCCCTTCTAACCCCAAGTTATTTTCATTATGCTCCCCAACTACAACAACCACTGGCAAGAAGCCAGACATAGAAACACTAATCGTCAACCAAACCAATATCACGTACCCTACAACGGCCCTGTCTTCCATCGACCTCTACAACCTACCAATCGCCGACCACCAACCAACCCATCCAGCTATATCCCACCCCATCGCCGACCTACCTACAACACCTACCAATCAAGAAGTAACCATTGACCTGACCAACAACTGAAACGACTACCAGCCCACCGACGCCAACCAGTCCCCACTCATAAGGAGGAAGAACCCTTTGTGAAGGTGTTCTTCCAAGTTTTGCAGTGCCTCCATCATTTGGCAATCCTTACCCTTCAACAGCAAGGCCAACCAGCGTTTACCTTCAAACGCAAAGTCTCTGAGTTGGATAGTTTTATCCGTCCAGCAATGAAAACATCAGCTGTTGACGCGAATATTAGATCCCTCAATCGGACATGGCTCTCTAAGGTTACGCAGGTCCTGATCGACCATTACCAAACCACACTTCAAGAGAAGCTGACCACCATTCGTACCAGGTCTTTATCATCAGCTGCCGTCGACCGCATCGTTTCCCATGCCCTGTCCTGGGCCCGCCGCTCCTATGGGAAACGTCTCACTCATATCTCTACCAACTGAAATGGACACTACACCTGCACCATCTAGAGCCACGACGCTGCCGAACCAAACCCCTAAACGAGCCCGAAGTTCATCTACTCCTAATCCAGCAGACATAGGTAAACGCTCTCGTAGAGACGGCACTCCCCTTCTCTTTTCACTTTCAGACTCGTCTTCCCCTTCCACACCATCTGAATCTTCACCACGTGATCCAGGATCCGCCAACCTTTCTTCCTTCTGTGCGTTTTTGGACCAGCAAACCACCCCTCAGTCTCCATCGAAGTCGAGACGTATTTCCAGATCTCCCCCCCCCCTCGAACCAGATCCCGTTCCCAATGCTACAATTCTAACAACTACCAAACCAGTACCAATCACACGGTCGACGACCATTATATCCGCTACCGCTATTATCACCAAACCAAGGACAAATCATTATGGAAGCTACCCGCTCTAAAGAAATCTACCTTAATTATTGGATCATCTAACCTGAATCGAATTACCAAAACCAGTTCAGACACTGAAATACATTCTTACCCCGGTGCCCAAATCCATCACATACAGTCAATCCTGGAATCATACGACCATGATCCCAAACCTACTACCATTATTCTTCATGTAGGCCTCAACAACCGTGATCAGCTACCAAAGACCTCCTTTAACCAAGCCCAGAAATTAATCGCCACAGCCAACAAAACCTTCCCAAACTCCAAGATCCTCTTCACATGTATACCCATTTCAAATAAAATCTCGAAGAAAGCACAACAGAACCTCAGCACTCTCAACAACATGATGATGGAGTCCAGTATCAACAGCGCAACAATCTTACCACCCTACGAAGAAGAATTCGAACCAGTTGATAATCTTCATTGGTCTCCAGAAACAGCAAACAGCATCTATTTGTTTTGGATACACCAGCTTCAAGCATCGAGTAAGTCTTTAAACTAATTACTGGGGATAAAAATACTGAGAGGCCACCGCTAGGCCAAACTGTAGTTAACTTGAGCCGCAAAATTCTCACACCCCTTCAGCATTCAATCTTAGACCGTGGAAATTATCTCCGACCATCCATTGAACGATTTCAACGAAATCTTAGCTGCACATATTTTTTTCGAAACCACCCCCACGTGGTGCTAGAACAATGTTTATTCCTAAATCCACGTGAACACCCCCTCGACCGCCATCCATCCTGAAATATTGAAAGCATTTGCGAGTATGAATAGCCAAACAGTGAACCTTTCCATAACACACGAAAAGCCTAATCTCACACGAGTGGAACGTGAAGCGTTAAACTTACTTAAGAAAGACGATAGCATTGTTATTAAAAAGAGTGACAAAGGTTCATGTTGTGTCATTCTGAATAGGGAGGATTACGTTTCAGAAGCAGAGAATCAACTGAATAATCCTAAACATTATGCCATTTTACCGAAACCAATTTTCAAAGAAACTGCTAACATGATTAATAATATTCTTGCCGATTTAGTCAAAACTAGTTATCTCAAACAGAAACAATATGACTATCTGCCTGCCAAACCTGATTGTCGCGAGAGACATTTGTACACTTTGCCTAAAATCCATAAGAATCCAACCAAGGAGTGGTTTATCTCGAATAAAATCCCGAAAGGCCGCCCGATTATATCTGACTGTGGTAGTGAGTCATATGCAGTGTCAGAATACATTGATCATTTCTTACTACCTCTAGCATGCCAACATCGCGCCTACCTTAAAAACACAACCGATTTTGTCAATAAAATAAAAAATCTTCGAGTTCCCTCTAATGCCATTTTAATTTCTATCGACGTTTCTTCTATGTATACCAATATCGATAACACTACTGGTTTTACGGCAGTTCGTAAAACTTTTAATAGAAACCCAGATCCAAACAGACCCGACGATGCAATTCTACAGCTTTTAGAGATTTGTCTTAGTCGAAACGATTTCACATTTAATGGTAAAACATATTTACAAACTTCAGGGACAGCAATGGGCAAACGATTCGCCCCTTCGTACGCAAACCTTTTCATGGCAGAGTGGGAACGTGAGGTGTTGCCCCTCTGTCCATTTGACCCACTTTTTTACGGACGCTTTTTGGATGACATTTTTATGGTTTGGACTTATTCTATCGAACAGTTTTGGGAATTCTTTGAAATTCTCAACAACCACCATCATTCTATCAAACTAACCGCAAACGTGAGTGACAATGCATAGACTTTCTCGATACCACAGTCTTTAAGGGAGATTCCATAGCAGAAACAAATAAACTGGATATTAAAGTGTATTTCAAAGAAACTGATACTCATCAACTCTTGCACAAGAGCTCCTTTCACCCAAAACATACCTTTTCTGGTATAATTAAGTCACAAGTTTTACGATTTCATCGAATTTGTACAAGATCTTCTGATTTCAACCAAGCCTGTACGATTGTTTTCTCAAAACTGAAAGAGCGTGGGTACTCTAAACGATTTTTACTAAACATATAAAATTCCACCTTAGCACAGATAGCAGCTAAAAACAGACTTTATGCCGAAGTACCTCCAGGTTTAAGAAGTGCTCCATGTTTGTCCAGTAGATGCAAAACATGTCCCTTTATATCAGAAACTCATTATTTTGTAAGCAACTCTACGAATAAAAGGTACCCGATCCAGGAACATCTAACATGCGAACATTCGAATGTAATATATTTAATTTCATGCAAGAAATGCCCCAAACAATATGTAGGAGAAACTAAGAATAATTTACGAACTCGCTTTAATGCTCATAGGTCGGACATCAAATTAAAGAAAGACAAGCCTGTTTCTAATCATTTCAACCTCGACGACCATTCAATAGACGATCTCACCATAATCCCAATTGAGCGTATAGAAATTGACTTGCCCGAAGATGAAACTACCAAATTCCGTCAATCTAGGGAGGCCCATTGGATTGAGACATTGAATACAGCAAGACCTATAGGACTAAATATTCATCATAATGTAGGCATAGCACCCTTTGTTGTCCCGTTTAATACAACAGCAAGCAAGATAGTTCATGCCCACTATAAGAGCCTTCAAGAGATCTTGTGTCTGCTCCACCCTGCTCATAGTAAACTAAAACAATCAGTACATAACGGATGCTATACTTCTCGCCGATCGGGCGAGTTATTTTTTCTAATTTCAGATCAGAATAAGAACAGAAGAAAACCCAATATCAAGACTCTTAATC